GCCAGCCGACCCTTTAAGTGTTCCTCGAAGGTGACCGAAAACACGACGACATCATCGAGATAAACAAGGCAGGCGTTCTACCTCAAACCAGTAAGGCAGGGCCCATCATTCTTTGAAATGTTGCTGGCGCAGAACATAGGTCGAAGGGGAGCACCTCGAATTCATACAGGCCGTTAGGTGTAACAAAAGCAGTTTTTCTCGGTCCCTTTCATCAACCTCAATCTGCCAGTATTCGCTTCTCAAGTCTATGGATGAAAAATACCTTGCCTGCCGTAGTGTGTCTAGTGAATCATCAATGCCTGGCAGAGGAAAATGGATGGAAGACAACGTTGTCCTTTATCATTACGAGAGCGACTAGCGATGACCATGGACTACTGGATGGCTGTATAACATCATCCTGAAACATTTCGAAGCACGGAACAATGTGGAGGTGCATAACGGCTTGCAGCGTCGGCGCATACTGCAGGAAGAACGTAACAGCTCACAGCCTCGGCATAGGAAACACGGCAAGGCTCCGTCGGTACAGGAGGGGAAGAATCGCTGGCAAGTGGGACTTGCAGAGCCTGCTGTACTTCGCTCCTCAGGAGATGCTGAAGATGGATCCTGCAGCAGGTGAAGGCAGGCAGTGAATCTTTTGCAGCTCGCCGTATACCACCGATCGGATGAGGTTGCACAGAGCTTCGAGACTGACGTTACTCCCCGCAACTCCAATCTGGTCCACCGGTGAAGCAGCATTGACATGGCGGTCGTACACAGCCGATCGCTGCTACAGCATGTTTTCCATCGTCGTAGCTTCAGTTAAAACTCTGCCACAGTTTTCAGGGGACTTCGGAAGAGACCAGCGAAGAGCTGCTCCTTAACTCATCACATTAGGTGCCGCAACTTCTTGTCTTCTGTCATACCTGGGTCAGCGCGACGGAAAAGGCTCATCATGTGCTCTACGTACGTCATCCCGCTTTCGTGATTGAATGCGTGATTGAATGGACCGCTCTACTGGTTCACAACGATGGGGGTCAGCGTAACTTGCCAGCAGCTAACGGCAAAACACAGTCCAGGACAAGAAGGGTTTGCGGTTCTCGTACCAAGTACGAGCGCCATCCTCAAGGCTGAAGTATACATTCCGCAGCTTGTTGGCGTCGGTCCACTCGTTGAAAGTAGCAACGCGTTCAAAGTTAGCTAACCAGTCCACGACATCCTCCAACATGGAGCCACAGAACACCTTCGGAACTCGTGGCTCCTGCAGCGTGTAATTAGCCATCGGAGTATTTTCTGTACTGCTCTGGGGTGGTGCAGTTGACATCATCTCCGGTAGAGATTCACGCTCGGGGAACAATTCTCGGATTTTCCACCTGGCCGGGTGGACAGGTGTTGTGACTGTAGGTACAGAGCTACTAGGAGGGGTTTGGATTATTGGTTGAGAATACCCAGCAACCCCACCAGTTGTCACGGGTGAAAAAAGAGGGACTTCGGGCAAGGAATACCGCGTAGTCGCAAAGACACAGGTCAGGGACGCGACACAACCAAAAAGCCTTGGCGAGAGCACGCACTGTCTCAAAAACGACTTCCTCGTTTGTTTCTCCTGGATGCGGGCTCGTGCTTGCCGGAGTTCATGGCCAGGTGGCAGTATATTTATGTGTACCTATACATATTAAATCGCAAGAAAGGAAAATAATCTAGAAAAAGACTCCGGCGTGCGGAATCCAACGTCGGACCTTTGAGTGTAAGGACAAGGTAGTTGTGCAAGCGGCCTTCCCTGCCTATGCGTTGAACACGTTCTGAGCCTAACCGTTTGTCTTGTAAGTCTCACTGAGAGGACTTTCCATGTGCAACGAAGCTCTACGTGTATTTCAGGAGCAGTCATGACTATGGGAACTCATGGGCCTTAGCGGACGCTGGACTCAGCAATGAAAGTAAAAATTTTCAGAGAAGCATAACTAGGAGGCACCGCCAAGCAAGGTATCACCTGGAATTACGGCATCAAGCCAAACAACCTGTCAAACATTCTCAAGAACAAGCTCTCGGTGCTGGATGCGGTTTAAAATGACCAGTTCAAGACATCTTGCAAGAGGATGTGCCCTGGTGCCCACCTGGAGTTAGAGCAAGCGGTGCTCGTCTGGATTCGGGAGGCCCGAAGCAACCGACTTCCGCTCAGTAGCGAGATCGTTGCAGCGAAAGCCTCATCGCTTGCGACCATGCTAGGCATCGAGCAACTTCGTTTCGTTCAATGAATGGCTTACACGCTTTAAGCAACGCCATGATATGGTGTTTAAAGCGTGAATGGGGAAAGGGCTGCCGTCAACGTGGCAACATGTGCTATTGAAGAGAAGGTAAGCTTCATGAATACTTGGCTGAATATCAGCCGCAAGATATCTTCAAAACAGACCAGACGGCACTTTTTTACAGAATGTTGCCAGAGAAGACGCTTATCTTTAAGGATAATGACTGTGCTGGAAATAAGCGGAGTAAAGAAAGAGTGTTAATTCTGATGGCAGCCAACATGACGGACTCTGAGCAATGTAGCCTGCTCGTAATCGGTAAAGCCGCTAAGCCTAGATGTTTCAAGAGTGAAAACGCTGCCTGTAGACTACGTGTTTAACAAGAAACCGTGGATGACAGCAGATACATTCAAGCATTGGCTGATGAATTTGGATCACAAGTTCGTGTTATCGAGATGCAAGGTGTTGATGCTTGTTAACCAGTGTAGTGCACACATAAATGTGCTGCCGTTGAGTGCCATCCCTGTCGCTTACTTGCCAGCGAACACTACATCAATGTAACAACCTATGAACCAGGGGATTATAAAGAACGTTTATGGGAAACATTCTCATGAGCGGATGCTGTTGTGTATGGACAATTCCACTTAATATGAGGTGAGCCTTTTCAGCGCTTTAAGTATGCTGGCACGAGCGTGGGGTCACGTAAAGAAAGAGACCATTGCGTTAGAGCGTGCTGTTTTGTTGCAAGTCCTGCCGATGATGATTAGTCTTGTACAGCGATAGAAGCAGACAAAAGTGAGGTTGAACTAGACAGTCTCTTGCCAGCTCTCGAAGAATACCTTGCTACTGACAGTGCCGTAGAAACCTGCGGTGCGTTGACGGACGCCGAGATCGTCGAAATGGTTTGGCCCAGAAAGGATAGTCAAAAAACTGAGGTGGACGACGACGATATTGCAGATGAGCCACAACCGTGAGCTGCTGATGTAGCCGAGGGCCTTGCCCTTGCGGAGCAGTTTTTCGCTGCTGAGAGCAACGCCCAGGAAGCTTTTGGGCACATACACAGACTGCGGGACTTGCTTTCTGCTGCAAGATTTAGCAGACAAAAGCAAATTGCAATCACCAATATTTTTCGTAAACTGCTTTGAAAGATGTATTCCTCATTTGTATTGGTTAGTTAGAATTCTGTTTAATTGAGAATTTTTGGCGATCCCCGTGAACTTCGTATTACTGAGAGCCAACTCAATTCAACGAACATAAGGTGATGCGAAAGCGTCATCGCCAATGAACCACTCACCGCTAGGGGCCCACGAGGTGCGACTCGCGGGACCGTGTCAAGAGGTGACCATCTGCGTTCACCGCGACACGCCAAGGAGAACTGCTTATGTGCCAAGTGCCGCCAGCCAGCCTCACTGCTAGGCGTCACCGCTAGCTATAATGACGCTGGTGATAGACGCTCGCGAGTACATCGCAACCTACCACTCGACGCTTGTGAACCCTAAATACGGCCTATGAGTGAAACACATGTGTGCCACGATGTGCAAATGTCTTTACAAGAGGTGTTAGCAGTCCCACAACATTTTTTGCGATGTACCAAACTTTTGCACTGCTGATAACTTGTCACTTGGCCGCACACAGTGGCTACATTACGGTGCGTGTAGCGACTCGTGAATAAAATTGATAACCTTGCTACTTGTAATTTTAAGTTCTCTTGAAAATAACAGAGAATGGCATGCTAAACTTTCAACAGAGACATGTGGTGGTGCAGAGACTTCGGTCAGGCTAAATACATCAACGAAAAGTGCATCACTGGAATAGAGTGAGAGCATTGGCGGCACTGTGGAGAAACTGCTGCGTTAGCCATGTACCTTCGGAGCTCGAAGTCGCTACCGATCGCATCGTAGCGACTGCGGTTTCTTTCAAAACAGGTGCGGCAAACAACAGTTCCGTTTTTATTTTGTGTGCTTCGGCCGCGCACACGCCTTCAAAACTAAGTTGCTTGTTGCTCTCTATAATTGCTTCTGTCACGATCTAGTCTGTAGCGTTTGCAGAAAGAAACGGCACTTTGATTAGGCGAGTGTTTGACGCGCGTGCGTGCACTTTTCCAAGTTCGGTCAGTTTCGTCGTCGCCATACATGATAATGTCAAGAGTGATTGCGGTTCGGTCGGCTGGGCGCATCCTTCCAAAGCTTCCAGCACGTTGCTCTCAGCCATTGCTTGATAGTTTCGTCCGAACATGCGAATTGCGGCCTACTGGACACAGTAAATGTTTGCGAATTCGAATCATCGAGATTCTAGTGTACATTACCTTTCTTAATGCGACAGTGTGGATAAATTTTGTGAAAATGCGGATAGCTTTTCAAAAAGCATGGATTAGACTGGGTTTAATTTTTGCCAATGCGACCAAATCATGTGCAGGAACTTCGATTTCCAGGAGATTTTCCTGCCAACCACATACGAAATGGTCGAAATCCGCGAGATTTGGCAGGTATGCAATAGTATTACACTCTAACTTCGATGTAACAAAGATGGTTGAAATGAATTATTGGTTGTAAAAACTAAGTGTAGAATGCTTTTATCAGAGATACAGTGCTACAAGTATTGTTTATTATGAATTTTAGAATATAAGAAAATATTCTTGCGCAACATTGTTATAATAAGATTTGAGTGTATTTAATTTGAAACAAACATACTTTTACTAGAGAATACTGAAATTGAAGCACACTGATACGAGATTATCCTTGTCCATCCTTGTGTCATAAAAACAGATGTGAATGGGGTGCTCACACTTTTCGAGCCTCTGCTGCTCCTTGGCAGCGTCCTTGTCCGCCTGGTCTTCGACGAACGTGCCTGCTGTTGAAGGCTCCTGGATGCTGGGATCCTCCTCAGGCACAACTATTTCATAGTCATTCTTTGGGGACGGCAATGATGACAGTGCCTTGAGCAGCTGCTGCTTGCTCTCCCTCTGTACAAAGAGCACCAATGGGGGAAATAATGCCTATCACGTCCGGCCAAATTCAACTGCACTAACAATAAAAGCAGTGAGAAAACGTTGGATGCATAACAGAATCATGCTTTGGACCCCTCCCCCCAAAAAATTCTCTGTTACAAAATTATTACGTATGTTTCAGTTTCACTCACAAGGTAAGGTGACGGCAAAGTATTCGACTGTTATGTGAAAAAGACTAACTTCATGCTAGATTGCAGTATATTAAAGGATATAGATGTAGAGGGCATTTACCACAGAAACAAGAGCCACGAGGCTTGTGAAAAAGTGAACATTTTGTTTCTCTCCTGTTTGAACAATTTCACTGCCCCATGCCTCTAAGATTTGGCAGATTATGTTACATCATTGCAGGCATACCTTCCCAAGGTCTGCGAAATATGCAGTCCATGGTGTGCACATGGACAGATGAATAGAGATGGCTTGCATAAAGACTACAGTGTAAAAAAAGGGGGGTGGGCGTGCCGACGATCTCTGTCCGCTGTGACGGAGAGTGTGCCCACATAATGTTCGCATATAGTACATGTGCCGGCGGTTGTTTCGTGGGGGTGCTGAGACATGAGGGCCTAGAGAGACTGAGGGCAATGAGGTGGAGGCACATTTTTTTATTTTTTAAAGGACTTTTTTAAAGGACTTTAAAGGTGGGCATGTATGGCAATAGCACAAGTGTCTCACTCGTTCACACCCTTGCATCCAAGGGCCATGAGGCAAGCGCTTTGTTGAGCGTAGCCACCGCAACGGTGACTTCTCTGGAGAGGTCGTGCTATGGAATGCCCGGGTATATGACATTAAAAGTAGTAATTTCTTTTAAAAAAGCCAACAATGCTTTAGGAGTAAAAAGTGGTTCCCTACCGACGAACATTGCAGGATGAAGTGGTATCTGTTGTCGGTAGGGTAACGGAAAGTGTTGTCCTCTCAGCGCGTCCAATTCTTTACACTGTATTAGAATGTGAAGTACGGTGAGTGCTTCTCCACATCTGTCACACAAAGGTGGATCACCCCCAGATAAAATAAATGAATGTGTTGCTTGTGCATGTCCTGTTCTAAGCCTTGTAAGGATTACTTCTGTGTAGCGTGATTTTGATACTGGCGGCCAATGATTAAGTTGCGGCTTGATGACATGCAATTTATAACCTGTTTGTGTGTCCCATGCGCTCTGCCAATAACCCCTGAGCTTTCGTTTTAGAAAAGTTTTCAAGTCGAGTACAGAAATCGGTGTCGAAGTGTTGATAACGGTTTTGTTGGCGGATCCAGCTAGCTGGTCTACAAGAACATTGCCTTGTAGTTCACGGTGTCCTGGCACCCAACAGACTATGACATGCTGCTTGGATGAGTAGACTGTGCATAAAAGCGAATAAAGCGAGACAAGGACAGGGTTTTTGTGCTTTTTAAGAGTTTTCAGAGCTTTTACTACGGTGAGGAAATCTGTATATATTATTGCCTTCTGTAGTTTTATTTGTTTAATGTGTTTGACGACCGCGAGTATCGCATAAGCTTCGCCGGTAAAAATGCTTGAATCAGAGTGCAGACCGCCGGCTTCCGAAAAGGATGGGATGATGGCTGCGTAGGAGACAGAAGTGTCGAACTTTGAAGCATCCGTGAAGAACTCAGGACATGCGTATTTATGTTGTAGTTCTAAGAAGTATGTCTGAATATGTGCGATTGGCGTGTGCTTCGTAACCTCTAAGAAAGACACATCGCAATCTATCGCCTGCCACTGCAACGGTGTCAGGCATATTGCGGAAGCCATTAAACGGTGTTTGAGTGGCACATTGATTTCCTTCGCTAGGCCCCTCACACAGAGTGCGTAGGGCTGTCTCATAGAAGGCGGTTTCTCAAACAAAGCAAGGCTTGACATGTCATCAATTGTGGAATGTGATGGGTGATCCTTGTCTGCATTTACATTAAGATAATATTTAAAGGACATGTAACCTCTCTGTAGGTGGAGCGAACATTCGTTTGATTCCACGTACAAGCTTTCCACAGGGCTATTGCGAAAAGCACCTATGGAGAGACGGTTACCTAGATGATGAACAGGGTCAAGCATTTTAAGGGCAGTAGGTGTCGCAGACTGATATGCTATTGCCCCATAGTCTAGGCAGGTGCGTACAAGGCTTTTATACAAATTCATTAAACACTTCTTGTCGCTTCCCCACGTAGTGCGAGACCACACTTTTATAATGTTCATAGCTTTTATGCACTTGTTTTTTAAATATTTGATGTGTGGTATGAAGATGAATGCCTCTCTTCCTGGAGAACAAGACACGTGCGTTTCTGTGCATTCAGGCAGAACCCGTTTTCTTCAGCCCAATTAGAGACTTTGTTCAAACCAAGCTGAACCTGACGCTCACACACATGGCCAGACTGCAATATCTAAAGCCAAGCTGGACGTCATCGACATATGTACAACAAAACATCTTGCGAGGGATAGACAAGCGCAAATCATTCATTTTGATGAGATAAAGTGTGCAGCTAAGTACACCACCTTGCGGCACGCCTGTTTCTTGGACAAATGTTTGCAAAAGAACGCTGCCCACTCGGACGCGGAATGTCCGGTTTGACAGGTAACTTTCGATCATGTTAAACATTCTTCCGCGCAAGCCAAGGTGGGACAGGTCTCTTAGTATTCCAAAGCGCCATGTTGTATCGTAAGCCTTTTCGATATCGAGGAACACAGAGAGAATATATTGTTTATGGACGAAAACGTCTCTGATCTGTGCCTCGATACGAACAAGGTGGTTTGTGGTGGATCTACCTTCTCGAAACCTGAATTGAAATGGGTCGAGTAAATTGTTTGTTTTAAGGAAATGTACAAGTCAGCAGTTTATCATTATTTCGAAGACTTTGCACAAGCAGCTTGTAAGTGCAATAGGCCTATAACTCGAAACTGAAGGAGGGTCCTTGCCCTCTTTCAAAATGGGAATAATAATAGCCTCTTTCCAAGAAGTAGGAATAGCGCCAGAAAACCAGACAGCATTGTACAAACAAAGTAAGGTTTTTTGTGTTTCGATTGGTAGGTTTTTTAACATTTCGTAAACTACACGGTCAAAACCTGGGGTAGAATTACTGCAGGAGTTTAGAGAGGTTTGGAGCTTAGCTAAGCTGAAAGCATGGTTGTACACCTTGTATCTAGTACATTTGTGTTAGAGTTTCTGCTTTTCTGTTCTTGTTCTGTATTTTTAGAAAGCGTCGGTATAGTGTGACAAGCTGGACACCCGTTCGAAGTGTGCACCGAGGAAGTTTGCCTGATCTTCCAACGTGTCACCCTGTGTGTTTACGAGTGGGAGTGTGTGCTTGTCTTCCTGCTACCCTACCAACCATGTTCCAGACTTTATCCTCCTGTGTGTATGAATTGATCCTTGACAAAAATTTCTGCCAGCTTTCTCTTCTGGCCTGCCGACGTCCTGTCCTGCCTTGAGACTTTATTTTCTTAAAGCTGTCAAGATTTTCGGCTGTCGGTGAGTTCCGAAGCAACCTCCATGCTCTGTTTTGCTGTTTGCGCGCATTTCGGCATTCAGAGTTCCACCATGGCACACGCCGTTTTTTAGGGTTTCCATTTGTTTGTGGGATGCATTTTGTTGCAGCATGAATAAAAAACGCTGTGAAGTAGTTGACAGGAACATCAACGCTCAAAGTACTTATGTCACTCCCACCTAAACGAGCGATGATATAGAACTGTTCCCAGTCGGCTCTGTTTATGAGCCATTTGGGAACACGTGGTGGACACTCAGTTGCTGTAGTTGTGCTCAAAACTACGGGAAAGTGGTCACTTCAGTACGAATTACTGATGACTTTCCACTGGAGTAGAGGCACAAGAGACGGCGATACTATGCTTAGGTCTGTGAAGGAGTAGGTATTATTAGCGAGATTATAATCGGTTGGTTCTTTTCGATTCAGAAGACAGGCGCTCGACGAGAGAAGGAACTGTTCAATCAATCGACCTCGCGCGTCGCAACGAGAGTCACCCCATAGCTTGCTATGCGCATTAAAATTAAAGTCTCCAAGAAAAACATAAGGCTCCGGAAGTTCATCAATTAAAGATTGTAAGTGATGTTTTTGTAGCTGATAGCTTGGACGAATGTAAATAGTGCAAATTGTGATCAGTTTATCAAAAAGAACAGCTCGAACAGCCACTGCCTCAAGGGACATTTGAAGTTGTAAGTGCGTGCATGCAATCCCTTGATTCACTATAATGGCAACACCTCCAGATGATGTCATGTTATCATCACGGTCTTTTTGGAAAATAATGTATTTACGAAGAAAGTTGGTGTGTTTTGAATCGACGTGTGTTTCTTGTACACACAGCACTTTTGGTGAGTGTTCTTGTAAAAGTTCTTGGATGTCGTCGAGGTTTCTGAGATGGCCCCGGACGTTCCATTGTATAATTTGAGTGATCATAGTGAATGTGAAGTAGTACTGTGTGTACGAAAAGCGAGTGGCTGTTTAGGCGGGGAGTTTGAGTTCATGTAACAGGGCCGTCACCAGGCCCCGTAATTTGATTTTTTGTTTTCTTGGCGTACTCCAAGGAGCCGCGCCGCCCTTCGGCATCAAGGGTACCGATGTATCCATTGCCTCCTCAGAGGCACTGGATGCCTGCACGTGCGAGCTGGTGTTCGAATTTCGGGCCTCGTCTGGTGAGGTGAGGCCTTGATATCCGAGGACCCTGGGGTCTCCGGTCTCTGTTCGGGAGTAGGCGGTGTAGTCTGGACTACAGCCGCCTTGGGGGCAGGTGCACAACCGCCGGCTCGGTATGCGCGGGCCGAAGGAGTGGCGGAGCTGGTGCGACGGTGCCCTCTTACACATCGCATCAGCATATGTTGGGCCATAGAATGGCGAGACCCTTTTCCTTGCTTCCTTAAATGAAATGTTCTCCTTCACCTTCAAAGTAATTATCCCTTTTTCGTTCTTCCAGTATGTGCAGGAGCGTGAATATGCGGCATGGTTTCCTTCACAGTTTACAC